GACAAGTAAATTTAAATTTTTTTGATGAAAGAAAGGGGTGGTGGGCCCTATCAATCAATTATTATTTTTAATAATTTTTCTATGCTTTCAATTAATATTTAAAGGGCACCATGTTATAAAAGAAATTAATATAATTTATGCCATTTATTTTTTGGTAAAAAGCTAGGTCCCAGCCTTTAAAACCTAGCCTTAAACGCTATTAACTAATGCCATTTTTTTATTAACTAACGCTATTAACAAATGCCTTTAACGCTATTAACTAATGCCTTTAACGGTACAAAGAGGAAAATGTTAATTTATTTACCAAAAAAGAGGAAAATGCTATTAACTAATGCCTTTAACGGTATAATGCCTTTAACACTATAAAGGCGCATTAACTAACGCTATTAACTAAATGTCATTTATTATATAAGAGAGAGAGGAAGCTACGCTACAACCTCCATAGTCATCTCCCATCGAAAAATCAGGGGAGATTTGGCATATATAAAAGCTTTCTCATCACCCCTATACACGAGCGTCTGTAAAGCATGCATGATGGAAGGGTTCGCGTTTGACTCTAGCGAGCGGCACGTGGCGAAAGAGATGCCCCACGAGTTATAAAGCTTACAAAAATACTGTCACGTGTCACCACGTCACCGATTTTTTCCGTTCTCACGTTTCAGTTATAGAGTCGCCCAGTTTCCGGTATTTTATCAGAATCGATACGGGATAACCGATTTCCGTATCGACCCCGAGTGATGCTGAGTCAACCTGACATTTTTTAATCACTGAATGTATAACACACAATTTGATTTTATATGAATTGGATAGATTTTTTATTTTTAACTATTGGGAGGGCAAGTTTCCTCTAGTTTCTTCAGCAAATCCTAAAACTTTCATTAGATAATGTTCCTATCTTGGAGTGGCCCAAATCATTTAATATTGAAATTGGGCGGTTGCCAATCAAAGAAATTGTTGATGTTATTGAAGATAGTCTAATCTGGTGGTGTATGACTGGTATGGAAGTACAATATTTAAGAAACTCAAGTAGGTAAAACACAATATCATTTTGTGGAAAAATTTCTAATAACTTCAATGTCAAACAAAGGTTGTCTAGTATTTTAAATAGGTTACAACAACTGGACAGTTTGGAACTCAATCTTGGATTGTCTCATTGAATGGAAAGAATTAATCTCAACATAGATTTGGAGGAGAATTTGAGGTTAGACGAGATTTTTAGAGAGAACGAACAAGGGTTAAATGGTTCAAAGAGGGAAATTATAATACTAAGTTTCTCCACCCTATTGCGAGTGTTAAAAAAGGATCTAACAACTTTGCTAAATTGCAGATTCAAGGGGTTAGTCAAGATGATTAGAATGGGATGGTAAATGCAGTGTTAAACCACTTCAAAACTGCCTTTGCAACTAAATGTAGACAGAAAAAAACCTTATGGAAGGTGCCTTTCAAGGTGTTGCTGGTGTAGGTTGATAAATATTTAGAATTAAGGTGTCGAAGAGGAGATTAGGGCGGTAGTTTTTTCTTTGGCTGGAGGTAAGGCACCAGGTCTAAACGAATTTCCTTTGATGTTCTTTTTGGATCAAAATATCCCCACTTTTAAACTCAAGTTTCTCTCTCTTGTTTAAAGATCCCACACAGTCTTTCTCTAACTTGGTTCGGCACATTTTGGTACCTGATCGACTTCTATGGGACTTTAAGCCGTAGTGCTGGTTAGAGAAATTATGTACATGAGAAACTTGGGTTAAAAAGTAAGTGTATTTTATCTAAAAATTTAATTTCTTTACTTCGGGGATAGCTGCCCAAAAAAAAAAAGAAAAAAGAAAACCACAAACAAACAATTTTGAAGTGAATTGTGTGGTATAAGATGTATAAATTGGGGATATCATGTTTTGAGGTTAATTGTGCGGTTTGAGTAGTATTGAGAGAGAGGGCATGCCTAGAATGTCTAGGAGGTTTATTTAATAGGTGAGGTTGTATAAAGCACCCACCTTATACTATAGAAATAAGGCGACTTTTAAAATTTATCTGATTATGTAGTTCCCGTGTTGGAAACTTTATGATAACTTAAAAATTTATTTTTATTCCTAGCTATAAAATTCAAAATTTTTAAAAAATACAAATTGAATATATCTATAAACACTTGAAAGTCTTAAAAATAGTTAGTTCAAATAATTTGTCACAAGTATTAACTATTTTAAAGACTTAAAATTATTTTTTCTTAATATCCATATATCTTGAGATCGAGATAACAAGATTAACGAATTTTCAAACATCAAGAGCACTCTTCAAAAAGATTTTTGATAGGGTATAAGGTCTCAACCTTGTAAAAACTTTTCCCAATCTTGAATTAATGTTGCCTATTTTTTACCAGCACACGCAAACTAATACGTTGTTCGAAATGCAATTTACTTTAGCGGCTTAGAGGATCGGTATGTAATTTTTTTTTTTTTTGGGTGAGCCGGAGGGAGGAGAGACCCTACCCTGAGTACGAGTTGAGCCCAGGACGTAACCAATTAAGCCCGGGTTCTTTGCCAAAGCCGCTAGTTAGAGTCGGTGCTCCGTAATACTGATTACGTCACTCTTTCTCTCTCTACAATGTTTTGCTTTTCTCATTCTCTCTCTAAAAGCAAAGCCCGTGACGGCTTACGAGTCCACGTCGTCTGCCACTTCAGCCCCGCCTCTCTACAATTCGTCCTCACTTCTCTCTGTATATAAACTCTTCTCCCTTTCTCTCTCTCTTCATTTAAACCTTCTTCTTTTCTTTGCTGGCCCAATTTCTTTCCATCTGGGAAGGAGGACGAAACAGGGAAGCTCGAAGGAGTAGCTGTGACCCAATATTCTTGCTGCCCACAAAGGCTGATATCTTTTATCTGAAATTTCCATCTTGTGAGTCTTCTGAATTCATTCACTTTCTCTTATTTCCTTAATGGTTTTATCGCCGGTTAAGCTCGGGATTGAGTCCTGAAACCTGGTGTTTTTCCCATGCTCTTGACAGGGCCCTTGACCCTTCTATGGGTTAATGTTCATGGGATTGCGATCTGATGTTTATGTGGTGCCTTTGGTCATTGACTGATGGTGTTTGAGTTGCTTTCATCTGTAACCGAAAAATAATTGTAGATTTCGTCTTTGTGTTTCTGGTTAGGTTTTATGTTTTGTGGGGTCTTCAATTTTTGTTCTTGAAATCCAAGTGTATTTTCAGATATTGGATTTAGCGTCTGATGTGCATTTTCTTCTTTGGGTGTTTGTTGAAGTGGAAATATGGTGTCTTTTATGCTGGTTGTGAGGTTTAGTTTTGTATTGTCCACCTGAAGTGAATCTTAGGCTTCTGTGTAGCCATGTTTTTTCCTTGTTCTTTTGGGCGGTTCAAGATTGTGCCCTTTTTTTTTTTTTCTGTTTCCTGTTGTGATTTTTATATGTGTGTTTACTTGCATATATGAAAAGCTCCTTTAAGATACTTATGCATTTGTGTCACATGAGACGAGCATTGGTTTCTATTATCAATGTTATTCCTCATTGCTTCCTGGTTAAATGGGAAGAATGCAACAAATTCTTAAACTGTGAACTAAGTAGATGATCAATTCCCAAAAACTTATTGGTTTAAATTATTTGGAATTGTTTTTGAGGGTTTCTGATCTGATGTTAAAATAGGTGTCACTGATTTGTTTCCCAGTTTCATTCTCTACGTCCTAAATTCTTCCTAGTATGAGGAGTGACACTCACGATACCCAAATTACAATGGTGATAATGGTTGTCTAGTATTTGAGGAGAGCGCTCAGGGAACCAGGTCCAGCTGGCATGGGGTGATGTTACTGCTGCAGAGGTTAATCCTCTTTTTGTCAGACTTCAAGTGTTCGTTTTTTGAGGTTTTGGATTTGTTAATAAAGGGTGATCGCCCTGTGCAAAATGGGTATTACCCTGTCCGTGGAGATCGGTTCAGATTTTTACCAGATTTTCGACATTTGACAATCTCGTCAGATATCTCTCAAGCACTCAGTGCGTGAGGATTCAGTGGCAGACTCCCTTGCCAAAGATGGGGTCCCAAAATTTGACCTTCCCATCACTAGTTCCCCCCCCTCCTAAGGAGAGTTTTTTATCCAATTTTGTACAAATCATGCACAAATCATTTGACAATCTCTTCAAATCATTTCATCAAAAATTAAATTGGATTATTCTTTCTATTTTTTAATTGAATATGGGGGAAGTTTCTTTTACATTGCATTACTTGCAAGTCTTATGGAAATGTTATGAATACACAACATCCCAAGGTTCTTTTTCTTATGCGAATTAATGCAATGCTGATATTGGTTGGGTAACAAGTTTAACTTCTCAGGTAGAAATTGGTTAATAATGGGCTCAGTTGTTGAAATTTCTCAAGTCACTATGGCACATGCATCAGAGGTTGCAGCATGTTGCTTGCTTTTTCATGAGATTTGAATAAATTTTAGTCAAATTGGAGCCCTATTCTCCTTTATTTGGGTGATGGATTGAAGCAGCATTATTTGACATTCTATACTTCCTCTTGCTTCTTATGATGAATATAATTAGAGGAACATTCCAAAGTCTCTCTAGTCACACTGTCACAACTTGGTGAAGATATGACAAGGAAGCATGCATTGGGTTGCATTTTTGGTGTATAAACTTTGGAGTTGTTAGTCTGCTGAACAGAGTATTCAGCAAATGATAAATGATATATTGGATCTTGCAGATATTAGTGATTGGTATGCACAGTCATAAAGGCAGGCTTCTACTCCTCTTATGGTTTCATATGCCCCTCGACTTGGGTATGTTGGCTTGTTTTATGATAATGATGCCAAGGAAGTCTGAAGTGGACTTGTGCTGGGTCTTCTCATGACTCGTTTTTTATTTAAGTACATGGTACTTGTGCTGGGTCTTCTCATGACTCGTTTTTTATTTGTCACTAAGTTTCCCTTTGCAATGGAAGCCTTTAACAGAGAAGCCCGGGAGTTCATTGTCAGGTCAGTGTCTATAATGATATAAATTGCGAACATTTCTAAAGAGTATTCTGTTCGACTTCTTGTCATTTGAAGTTAGTTGCTTTCTCTGTTTATGTTTTCTGGGTACTATTGTGCAAATGAACAAAATGTATTTGGAAGTTTTCAGTATGGGTTCTGCTGGCTATCTTTAACTATTGGATTTCATATTTGGCTCTTCTTATCCTTGCTATATATCCTATATTCCAAATTTTGCTTGACTTTTTTATATCGGTTTCTTCTATTGAATATTTGAATGCCTTTGTTTGTGAATGCTTCAAATACGAAGACCATTCAGTTATTGATAATGGATGGTGGCCTCACACTTTCGATGAATATGATGTTTAAAGGATTGTACTTTTGTACTCTCATTTCGTACTAAGTGAATTTTTTTTAACCACTATATGATCTTAGCGCATTTCTCTTTTTATGTGATTCTATTGATAACAAGGGCGTTCTGTTGGATACTTATCTTCATATTTAAGCCATGTCAAATAAGTTGTTTTTCATGCCTTTCTTAGGGCTCCCCACTAGGTGTTATTTTCATGCTTGACACACCTATGACAAAGGCTTCGAATTGATGAGATCCAAGATTCCCTAAAGCTCTTTGAAACCCAAAATTCAAAAATTGAAATTTTTTTTGTTTGTTTTCAAATCCATAAGAATTAGTAGATCTTTTAAAAAATTTGTTCATAGATCAGATAGATCCGTCAAAAAACATTTGGGGTCTTCATACCCTCTATTGGCCCCAAAAATTATCTTGAAGTATTTTTCTGCCCAATAAATCAAAAGTAAAAGCAGCCGAGCTTGCCATGTTGGTCGACTTGACCAGGACTTCATGGAGTCTGACCAAAAATTGGCTGGTTCACTACAGTCGGGACCCTCTGTAACTTGCCCTTGACCGTTTTGGGGTGACTCCGCAGATTGTGCACCGAGTCACTGAGCTTTGCTATACAGAGTCAAAGGTAATGTCATGCTTAGATGCCAAAGAACATATTTAATATGCAACTTAAAGCTTAATTGGGATATGGTATTATTGAATACAATATTGAAACTCATTTCATAAGTGGTCTTCCTGTTTGAGGAATCGGGCTCAGGTCAAGGCGGTAGTAGCTGGGTTTTCATAGCACTACGTCTCAAGTTCCATTCCTGTGCAACCTTGTCCCAAAAAAAAAAAAGTGGTCTTCCTGTTTTTAAAGATGCTAACTTTAGGAGTTTCCTGGAGATCTGTTTGCATGAACTTTATACGTTTAAAGTATTTTATTAGTTTTAATATGAATACTCTGAACCTACCCCAGCAGCCTCATAAATGTTGGAATATTTTTTTCTAATTATGTAATTGCCTATTGGTGGACTCTTAGTTGAGAAAGAATATTATTGCATCTCTTAGTATTCTGTTTTGTTTGAGGTCTATAGATCAGGGAGCTAATTTAGAAGAGCCCATTAGTTGTGATTTGGGTTTGCATTGATTTATCTGGATTTGTGCTGCTCTAAGCATCTAAAACCTACTGCATGAGCAGATTAATATTTTCTTGAAGGAAATAAGTAGTGTTGACTGTAGTTTTTTTTTGTCTCATTGTAATTCTTGAAGGAAATAAGTAGAGTTGACTGTAGTTTTTTTTTGTCTCATTGTAATTCTAAAAAGGTATGTTGTTATATATTATGCAAGTGGTAAGTGGGTAGCTGTTTAGGCTCAGAGGATTTCACTTACAGTATTAGAATTCAGTTAAACAATGAATATAGTTATGGTTTATAATACCCTCTCCTTTACTCCTTCCTATTTCATGATTTCCTTTCATATTTAATTACAATGAATGCATGAAGACGAATTTCCTCATCATAATAAGCAGCTTCTTATTCATTTCAAATGATTAATGTCTAGAATTCGTGGTAGTTCCATCATATTTAAATATGATAGGCATACAACATGTCTGGCAAATTTCACTAGTTGCAATGTGGAATAGACTATTTTTTGCATTGGAAGCCATGTGTGATGAACAAATTTGGAGATCTTCATTAATTTATGCATATTTGGAGGCCTTATGTTTCTTATTGTGATAAATATCTGGAGACCTTATTTTTCTTGTCACCATCAGAATGAAGGAGCTTGTGTAAAATTTTATTTTATTTGCACATTTTTATTTCTGATGATTGGAGGAATCGTCTGGTATGATTTGTGGAGTATCTCCTAGATCATAGTTGCTTCAAGATAGTTTGCTGATTATGGATTGTTACATGAAGCCATTGTCTAGGCCTCTTAGAGGTATATCTATCATTTTTCTTATTTATATGTTTGTAGCATCTCTTCATCATGTTTTAGTTTCTTGGTGCGGTAATGAACTAATGATTGGCATTATCTTTCATCAAGTTATATCTGTATTGCATTTTAGACTATTGCTCGCCATGCCATTAGCCTTGTTCTCTTTTCATTAGAGCCCTCTGATATGACTTGTGGAGCATCTCCTAGATCATAGTTGCTTCAAGATAGTTTGCTGATGATGGATTATTACATAAAGCCATTGTCTGGGCTCTCTTAGAGATTTTTCTGTCATTTTTTCTCAATTGTATATTTGTAGCATCTCTTCATTTTATGTTAATTTCTTGGTGCCGTAATGAACTAGTGATTGGCACTATCTTTCATCAAGTTATATCTATATTGCATTTTAGGTTATGGCTCGCCATGCCATTAGCCTTGTACTTTTTGCATTGAGACATTTTTTCGATGATTTAATATGCGTGATTGGTTGCTCATTATCATGAATGGTATTGGAATGGGTATGCAATCATATTTGAACCATTGCTGCACCCAACGATCCAATATACCTGCCAGCCAGTGGTTATATGACTATCAATGTGTCACTATACATCCTTCCTGTCTTGGTAATTAACTTCTAAGTCCTAACTCTCCGATATTCTTTGCAATGATTTTTTTTTTTTTTTAATGTTAACCTTTTCTTTGCAATGATATTATGGTAAGGATACTGATCAAACTATGTTATTATACATATGACTGCTTGTTTGCTCTTTATTTTGTGAGCATTGACACTTGTTCATTTAAGTAGGTTTGCGAGAACAGCTTTCTGCGTGAGATGTGGTCGCTCTTTTATTAGGGATTAGTTAAACATGTTGATTCAGTAGTAAATCTATTGAATGATAAAAGGCTCGACTTGTATAGCCACTTGATTCTCTATAGAATATGTGTATGCATTTGCTGATGTTAGAAAGAATTAGTTAAAAACTTGACTGAAAAACTTGTATGGGTACTATAGTGTATAGATGTTACTAGTCCTGATACTCTCTTTCAATGCCCTATGAATTGGTGCAGTTCAAAGATGCTTTTTGTTCAAGAGGTTTCTATTAAAAAGTTTGTGTAATTGCCACCATGATAGCTCACTTGTTATCCAAAAAGGCAATCCAGGGTCTTGAACCAGCACCATAATGGAGTCACCTGGGCACGCTCTTTCTTCCTCTGGTGGAAACATTTACTTTTCTTGGGTGGGAAAGATAAAATGGTAACTGGACTTGCCAACAAAGAGGCAAATCTGCACTGAAATGGAGTCATATCTACATATGCCCTTTCCTCTTTTGGTGGCAACACTCCCTTTCCTGGGTGGGAAACATAACATGTTAGCTTGGACATAGCCAAACCAAGAGGTCAAAACCCTTTCGGTGGTAGCATATTGACATATGGAGTCATGCTGACCTGTTCTCTGTAGGTATGTCAGCATAAACTTTGTTGATGATAAATTAATTTTGGTGATGCTCTAGCTGTCGCCACCATTTTGCAGCTGACATTGATTTAACTCTTCAGAAGTTGGTTGATACTGAGATGGAAGTCATTGTTTATTGGTTGGCATTATGTTGGAATGGTTATAAGTTTTGTGATAAATATGTCCAAACTTTTCTCCCTTGAATCTGATTCTTAACAATAGTGGCACTAGGTTAAGGTTAAGGTTAAGCTCCAGCATTTCAAAAGAGTCCTTGGTTGTATTCTCCAAACGAATGGTTTGCAATCTCATGACTGTTACGTGCCTCCCCATTGCACCATAGTTGTTCACTTCAGTTGATTTATGGTGCCCACCATGCTGCCACATTTTATTATGCATGGTGGATCATTTTGTTCAATTTCTTCTGCAGTGACTATTAAGTCTTATAGTCTGATGCGGTGACTCTTAAGTCTGCAGTGACTTTCCATATTGCTGTGACTGTTCTTATAATCTGCAGTGACTCTTAACTCTTATAATCTGAAGTCTTATAATCTTAAGTCTTATAATCTTAAGACTTATAATCTGAAGTCTTATAATCTGCAGTGAATTTCCATATTGCTGTGGAAGTTCTTATAATCTGATGAAGTAGCTATTTCTGATTTCCTGGAACTTGACTTTTACACTATAAGTTTCTACATGTGGCAATTTGCGGTAGCAAATTTTACATCGTGATTCATGCCTAATATTAGCTATAACCATATTGAAGTCTCTGAGTATTTCATGCACACAGATTTCTTCTTTCGTAGCTCTTAAGCTCTTTGGGCTTTACTGGTGGTATAGTTATGGGAAATCCTCACATATACTATTTGACTAAGAATTGTTTCAATTTCAATTTCGAACCTGAATCTTGAGCATTGTGCTCTTCGTGTGTAATCCCTGTCCTTTCTTTTACAATGTTACCTTTCTTGTCATGGGAATGCCATTACATTGTTTTATAAGTTGGTGAACAGGACTCTTCATCGGAGAAGCTCCCACATGTTCTCCTTATCTTACTTTTTGTAATTTGTCCAATGTAGGCATGCCAGAATTCATTTCTCTGAAAAGTATGAGAGGGTCGCTTGGTGTGGGTTTCCTTGGGTTTAATTTGTGTAAACGCATTATGCATATTACTGACAAGACCAGTTCCATTTCTGTTTTTCCTGTATTATGGAGGTTATCATGCCTTTCTGATGAATTCAATGAACCACCCTTTTATTGTCATCGACCATCTTGTGCACATTTGATTTGTGTGTTTTTTTGAATTTTGGTATGTAAATGTGTCACTCAATCGAGGAGTCATGAGCACTCAACGTTGTTTGTGCTTCTCAATTCTTGCTGTGTGATCATAGATAGCATACGCACATGCACACAATGAAGGGATCCTGTTAAGCTGTAGTGCTGTACCATGTAAAAGCTATTAGAAGTAAATCTGCAGGCAAACCTGGCTCATAATGATTGGACTGCATCCATTGACAAGAAAAGGCTTATCATGCTTTATATGGAATCACACAGAGCATCCTTTCGTGGGAGCATACTGGACACTTTTCCCTCCGGCAAAAGGGCTACTTGGGAGTTTTCGATCTGAAATGTCGGGTTCTACCTAAAAAGCATCAGACTACTATTTTCAAAAAAGGAAAAACATTTGCGAGTTCTTAAGAACTTGGATGTGACCTAAAAAAATTGCGCATGCAGAGTGCGTTTGATTTATTTATTTTATTTTTTTCGTTCTTTTGGCTGGTCAATACGTTCAAGAGTTTACATCCCCAAAATTTGGAATTTGGGGGTCTAAAAGCACTCCTAGATTGGGTTTTGCCATAGCGAGTGAACGGAGGAAATGCTCCTGTTGGAGCTTAGAATGTTTTGGCTTTATATGGATGGTCTTCGCATAGTTGGACATCTTTGGTGCCGACCTTACTGGTGATCTATCATAAGATGTCATGTTCAGAATGCTGGAGCCATTAAAGATGTAATATATGTTTGAGCTTGTGCAGTAACTATAGTCATTTTCATCATGTAATACTTCATCTTTAATGGAGTTGAACTTGGGTTTTGTTAGTTTGGTTGTTCCCTGCAGTGTTCTCCTGTTCTCAAACTCTGCACACACCTTTTGTTCATCTCACATTAGCTTTCGCTAGCTTTGTATTGTTCAATTTGGAAATGGTGCACTAATCCAGGCTAAATATGTAGCACAAGGCCAGAAAGTTTATTGTTGTACTGCGTACTTCAGAGGAGGGGAACAAGAGAAACTAAGTCATCGATAGTATTACTTCGTCGTTCTTCTGTAACACCATATTGTGCCATGAAGTACTCTAATTCATATGTTGTAATATCTATTAATGTGTCTTTTGATGTAATATTAAATGAAGTACATAGCATCTTATGCAATGTCGCCCTCCGATTTTCAGAGCTGCTTCTCTTTCTTCCATTTCCGCCAACTCTCTCTAAACTGACAAACCTGATAGTCCACAATGCCAAAGGACCAACGCAGCCGCTCTCTCTCATTCCGGCACTCCCGCGCCTCTCCTTTCCCATGCAGCTCCAGCCGTGACAAGAGCCACCACTCTTTCTCTAAAACGTCGATCAACAAAGCTGAGGACCCCAAGCAATGGGATGATGTGCGCTGCCCTGTGTGCATGGAGCACCCCCACAATGCTGTCCTCCTCCTCTGCTCCTCTCATGACAAGGGCTGCCGCCCCTATATGTGTGATACAAGCTATCGTCATTCAAATTGCCTTGACCAATTTCGCAAGGCTTTCACGAAAACACAAGTGAGCGAAGCTGAGGGGGCCGTGCATAATGGTGATTCTCTGGCATTGTATGGTAGTTTGGAGGCAGTGCATGGCAGCGGTTCAGGTGTGGCTCATGATGGTTCAGGGCCAGTGCATGGTGGTGAAGAGGTGGTGCATGGAGGGGATTCGGGGCAGTCTATGGTGGGGTTGGCATGCCCTCTTTGTCGAGGGCAAGTGAAAGGGTGGACAGTGGTGGAGACAGCGAGGGGTTTTATGAATTTGAGGCCTCGAGGGTGTGCAGCAGAGGCTTGTGGTTTTGTGGGTGGGTACGCTGAGTTACGGAAGCATGCACGGGCAGAACATCCTACAGCACGGCCAGCGGAGGCAGACCCTTCACGGGAGCGGGATTGGCGACGGCTAGAGCGACAGAGGGACCTCGGTGATGTCCTCAGCACCATAAGATCTGCGATGCCCGGTGCGATGATGCTTGGTGACTATGTGTTGGAATCGGGAGGAATAAGCGATGAGGAGAATAACAATGAGTTCGTGATTGGTGGTGATGATGGGAACTGGTTGACTGTATTCCTCTTATTTCAGGTATTTAGGCCGGGGGTAGGGTCGATGGGTATAACCGGAGGGCCCATATCGACAAGGTTTAGGGGGAGGAGGAGGGGTGTTGCCTCGTCTCGGAGGCGGTTGTGGGGGGAGGGTTTGGAGGGTGGTGGGGATGATGAGGATGGTGGTGATGGGGATGATGATGGTGATGGCGATGGCTTGACCGCAGATGGGGGGAGGGACAGGACAAGGAGGACTCTTAATGATAGTTAATGCAGCTGCAGCTAGCAGTATGTCGGGAGCATCTCTCTCTCTCCTACTCCTCCTCTCTCTCTCTCTCTCAATACCTCTCTCTCTCTCTCTCAAAAAAAAACAAAAGGGAAAAACAGTAAAAAGGAAAGAAAAAAAAGAAGTCTCTCTTCCCCCCTTTGCCTAAATTCTCTCTTTCCTCCATTCCCTACTTTTTACACACTCTCTCTCTTGTGGGGTTTGCCATGTTTATTATTTAAAAATCTGGGATGTCTTTGGTGCAGGTTTTTGAGAGTTTTTGGGCTTCTGTTTCCAGAATCAATGGGTAGAAAGACGGGGACAATCATCCTGCAATTGTGGCTTAGCAGCCATGGATTTGAGAAAGCTGGAATGTGAAGGATGTGTATTATGTTTCTTTTCATTTGCGAAACGAATGAATGGTTCATAGAAAGACTCACGGTGTTTCATAATGTGCCTTGGAAACACTTTGGTTGGACATTATGTATCCATGTTTCTCTTATATATTTGGAAATGGTAGATTTAAAATGCGTTAGTGGGAATGGAAATTTAGACCGGTAGATGAGGTTCAGGTGGTGCAACAATCAAGACCTCAATGTCATCAAAGACAAAACATGTTACCCTTCAGTTTTGAGGTGGTGCGCCAGTTCTATTGGTCTTTTCTCGATTTTTAAAAAACAGAGCGGGTTGGAATTGAATCCAGGGGAGCTATGCTATTTTTTTTTTTGTGAAAAATTACAAATAACCCCTTAGGCGATATTTTCTATGCAAGTTACCACATCCAACTTTTTTCTCACTTTTTACTCTGAAAAATACATTTTTAGCAAATATTTCCCAACCCAAAAAAAATAAAAAATAAAAGTCTAAACTACCCTCTTTTGCTTTTACCATACCTCTCTCACCTCTTTCTTATGAAAAGGCAGTACAGTGTATTCTTAAGGCGGTCGAGTAGTGTAATATCGTTTCGGTAAATAACAGTGGTGGTCTGGCAGTACAAGTGGTGGTTTGGCACTGATAAAGAATGGTCCGGCAATAGGGTTATGCGGTTTGGCACTGCCAATGAGCGGAATGACAATAGGCCCATGCGGTTTGGCGACAGGTTCAAAATGTTGTCCGACCTAAAGTGTGGTTTGGCAATGTTATGTAAGCCTGGCAATGTCATGTAAGTTTACGTGAATGTTTGGTCAAAATTTGATTTTTATGTACAGAAAAAGGTATTTTTGTCAAAAAAAAGTTCTACAAAAAAGGGTATTTTTGTCAAAAAAAATGAACTTTTTTTAACTTGGGAGTTATTTGTTAGAAATGTGCATTTTGGGGAAAAAAGTGAAGAAACAAATTTGGTTGGAGGAAAAGTCTGGTCTTAGGGGTTATTTGTAATTTCCTCTTTCTTTTTTTTTTGGTAGTTCAATGGTAGGAATTGAATTTGAGATATAGCGCTGTTAAATGTGCTTCTAAATGAACAAGTGATGTCTTTTTGCGTTTAAAATTTGTCTCAATCCTCGTGGGCTAAAATGCATATGACCTTATTTGTAAATTTGTAATTTTACCATTCACATATTAACGAAGTGATAGTATTAGAGTATTATTGTCAAAAAAAAAAAAAAAGCGAACCATATGTTGGAGCAGATCAAACTTGTTTTGAGATGATCTTGGCTCTAAAAAAGTTCGAGTTTTGGCTGCAGATCTTAATGAGTGATTTGGATCCCTAAGTCCATAGATAGGTCTTGTCCTCTTTACCTTGTAGAGGGCCTGAGAGAAAAGATAACTGTCCATATATGGCAATTCAATTTTCATGGGCTACATAGAAAACTTGAGGTAGTTTGCATTACCATTCTGCTACAAGAAGTTAATCATATAACCAAAATTAAACCACCATGGAAGAATAAAAAAAGGCCTATGATAGCTATCAAGTATCTATATATATTAGTGAGTTGCAGTTAAAGGGTGGATACATGTCGTAAGAATGAATGGAACCTAATGCTAGACGTAGATACCACTCTCATGTACACTGCTCGTATGTACACCGATTTTAAAATTTTGCAAAGAGGCATATACACCATAATTTCAGACTTTAATCAAAAGTACAGCACCTCTCACTCATACCATCTCTCTTTAATACATTTTACAGTAAAATTGAAGGATAATAAACACCTGATTACATTCACTTAACCATTTCCATTTATTTGTACAATGTGAGATTTGCATAAACACTTTGACTATACAACACCTGCACAAAATTCAATAATTCTCATTTGCTTACACTAAACACTAACACAAAACTCTTACAGCTTCAAATGCAGTACAAAATTCAATGATTCTCATTGACTTACACTAAACACTTAACACAAACTCTTACAGCTTCAAGTCATCAAATGCAATCTCACTTTTAAAACTCTTAACAAATGTGAGCATGTGAGACACAAGCCATGGGAAGCTAAAACTCAAGAGCTTTGCCCGGGATTACCTCTTAAGACTAATTAGACACAATGATCCAGCCCTCATCAGCGCAAGTGAAAGGCAAGCGTAAAGAGGCTTCAAATGCTCAAAATAACATCACATATGAGACTGATTTGCAGCACTAAAATGACACTAAAAAACTAGGTATGTGATGCCAAAATTAAGCCAATTTGGTTCCAAAACAATGCAAAATAGTTGGGGAACATTAGGGCATAGTAATGGCTTGAGAATATAAAGTAAAGAACATCAAGAGAGTGATTATATCTTGATGTACATTCATTTTGATAGCAGGTTGCACATTAGGACGCCTAGATAATGCTTGGGATGTTTTTAAATGAAGGCTATGAAGCTTGGTGAAGGTAGAGGATCAAGCAGGGTCAGGAATCATGGTCTAGAAGTGAGCCATGGGGACTCTCACTAGGTTGGGTGTCTCATATTTCTCTATCTTTCTCACACATGGAACTCTCATGGACGCTCTCTACGTGGGGCGTGCCCTCTCTCTTTCAAATAAAAAAAATCTCTCAAAAATAAAAAACAGTGAAGATATGGGTGTGCCACTCTCTTACTCTTTCTATTTTAACACTAACTCGATAATTGGATGGGTTAGTTTAGGGTGAGAAAGGAACCTCCTAATTATAAGCTTTGACTAGAGAGTCTAGAAGGAATCCGATGGGGTGAGAGAGAATTGATCTTAGCCATCCAAACTCATATTGGGTTTATAATTAGGGTCTAGATTTAAAACTATTTTCCCTTGACCAAATTTAAATCCAATTTCCCTTTCCTTTGGAATTCCAAATTCCAAATTCAAGTTTTGCATCTATGACTTAATTGTCCATCATCAAAACATAATTTCCTGAGAGAAAATGTGTAGAGAGGGGCATGCTTCCTAAGCTAGATTAATTTATTTCTTACCCTAAGTACTTAATTTGAAATCTAGGTGTTTCATTCTGTTTACCCACGAATTTGCGTCGATCTCCGAGAAAAATCAACCCAAATCTCTTATGAAACTAGCTAATTTTAAGAGATCAATAGCGAGACTGGGGTCGCTCAAATTATAGGTTTAGGGACATCGTAGATCTTTGCAGATCAATTTCTCTTCTAAACCTACTGGCAACACTGGCTCTAGAATCCGTTAATAAGACCTTAAAAAACTTATATTCTAACTAAATTTAAGAAATAAAGAGAAAGTCAGAAAAATAAAAATAAACCAAGAAAATAAGGAAATAAATAAAAGAGAAGGAAAATATCACATACCAGAGAAACCCAAAGTTGAGACCTGTATCAGAAGTGCAAGTGATTTACACCTTTTTTTATGCTTTCTCTTACTTTATTGAAGCATAACTCTAGGGTTTGGGATCTAGAAGAACTTGTTCTTAGGATTTGATCTTAATTTTGGAGAGATTTTGAGAGGATTTTAAATTGAGGTCTTTAGCCTAAGGTTTTTTAAGGATTTTCTCTAATTTTCTTGAGGTTTTCTTAATTTTCGAGGGGTTTTAAGATTTTTCCTATTTTTTTAGGTATTTTGGATGAATTTTCTAATTTTCCTATTTTGTTTAGATTTTTTAAGATTTTTTTCTAATTTTTTGGTTTTCTTGGGATTTATCTAGTAATTTCTCAGGCTTTTTACTAACTAATTTTTGGGTTCTTTTTTTATGTAATTTTTCTGGGATTTTAGAGTGAGTTATTTATAGGTTTTGACTAGGGTTAGGCTTGCAAACAGTTGGTTTAATCCAAGGGCCTAGATTTAATCAAGAATATAGCGTATTTCAAAATTTCTTGAATATTCGGTTTTAAACCGCCTTAAAATACTTATGAAAAAGAAATTGGGTGACAAAACCACCGCCTCGGGCCCATCAAATCACACAAGTCGAGGCTCGATGCGCCGCATGGCGCACGACCATGCACAACATGTTGTGTGTCGTGCACTGGGGCAATTTAATCATTTTTCCTTTGAATCTTCCCAAGGCTCTAACCTGTTACCAGTGGGTCCGATTTGATTGATTCTTAGACCATCTTAGACCATTGGAAAGCTCTTGAGGATTACTATTGCTTGAAAAATGCTTTGGATATTTTTAGAATATTTAAACCGAGTTTAAGTTGACTAATGCTTACTAGAATTATTGTGGTCCTTAGGACTCAGAATCAGGATTTCTAGGAATTTCCTTAGGCATAATTTCGAGCGGATGTCTACTGTTTCCCCTATTTGGCATTCATTGGGATACTGGGTTAATGGAAATGAAGTAGACACATGTAACAATCCTAAAATTTCAAAAAAAAAAAATGGAGAAAAGATGCTTTTAAATAGGTGATGGTCTGTTTGAGTATGATGGTCCTTGGGGACCATCACTATTTTCAAAAGTTTTTACTTTGGTTTAAACTTTTGCTTTTGCCAGCTTTTGCCTGCTGCTGCTTGCTACTTGCCACGTCCTTTAGTGGACATGGTTTTCGTATGTTAAAAGCAGACTCTTAACGCGACACCTCAGGTATGAGGTAGAGCGTAATAAAATAATATAATAATACGTTATAAGAATTTAAATAGGGGAGGTGAGCACTTCCACCCTAAAAAAATTTTGAGATCTCTCTCTCTCTGGTCGAAACACAGTGAACTCCTCTCTCGAACCGAATTTTTATCAGAAGCTCCCTCTCAAATATTTGTGAGTAAGTGACATCGTCTTCCTGAAAAATAGTCTGTTTCTAATAAATAGTGATATTTCCGTCCAGGATCTTTATTTTATAAGTTTTGTGTGTAAGTGACATCGTCTTCCTGAAAAATAGTCTGTTTTTAATAAATAGTGATATTTCCGTCCAAGATCTTTATTTTATCAGTTTTATGTGTAAGTGACGTCATTGTCTCAAAAAATAATCCATTCTTTTTAAAAATAAAATGAAATAATTATTTCTGCTTATTATCATGAATTTTAGGTGCGATAAATTTTATGCGTACAAGACCTCATTATCTTAAAAAATAATCTTTTTAATAAAAATTGTGATATTTTATCTATGTTAGAAATTTTAAATGCTGTAAATTCTTAGAAAAATAAATTTATTTATTTTTCTTGGCTATTGTTACA